CCATAGATGCTTCTCGAGCACCTGGTGCATTCCATGCGCTCTAGGAAGCACGCATTCTAGAGGGGAAGACAGGCACTGAACAGCTGATGACCAGATTATTTAATTACATTGTGAGGAGTCATACAAAGGGTATTTTTTTCTTCTCAAATTCTGCTCAGAGCTAGATGCAACAATTGAAGATCTTAGGATCACAGCTCCTCCTCTAGGAAAGAGCCTTGGAGGCCATTCGATTGTAGGTTACTCTTCCTTCCGCAGGTGAGGAAACCGAGATCCAGGGAGTTAGAGATCACGGTCAGATGGCTGGTTTGCCAGCACCTCTCCCTGGAGATGCAGAAGTCTCCAGGCTCTTTGTGAAAGGAAGCAAAAGAAAGAAACTTGTTAGTCAACTGTTCAGAGCCTCGTCAAGACTGAATAGCTTTGCCAGTGGCCCTGTGTGTGCTGGACAGACCTCTGGCCTCCTGTAGCAGCTGCAGCAAGTAAACAAAGCTGAGAAAACCACAGGTCTCACCCAAGGTTAAATCAAATGGGCTCTGAAGAGATAGGGCAGGACACTCTTAAGACTGGAATGGTATTTGTCACAGTACCGTGCAGGGGTCACCTGTAGGGTCCCTTGAGGAGCTTGTAGAAAACACAGATTCCTGAGACCACCATCCCTGACCTGCTGCTAAAGAAGGGTTTCCAGGTGAGGGCCAGGGATGTGCGTGTTTCACAAACACGCAGGCGGCTCTGATGTGATTAGTGTTTGAAAACTGCTGGAGGAAAGCTCCTCGTCCTCAAGGTGATGGAGAAGGTAAAGATTCATCCTGGAAAAACATCTCTTAGATGAGTGAAATTCCTTGGGAACACTTAGATTGTTGAGCACTTCGTGAAATTAAGTTGTAGGTCATTTAGAAATACGTGTGAACTGTGCCTTGCCTCTTAGGGCTTTCCAGCACGCTTCTTCAGATAGGCGTACAAGACACAAAATGGTTACCTGTCTTTTTAATACCAATAAGGGGTTTCTTTGTGCTCATGTTTGACTTCCTCCACTTAACAGCCTCATTCTCATTTTGTATATGAAGGGAGAGTGCTTTAGAGAGAAATTTAAAGGGCTTGTATTTCTCTACTACGTGGCAAACAGTAAAATTGAGTTTAAAGAGGCAGGCCCTGTAGCCTGATACATTCATAGGAAGGGCTTCACGGTTTTTACCCAGTTTCCTTCTACGTTGGCAGAAATAAGGTATTTTTCCTAAGCTGGAGTCATCTGGAGACAGTGTGCTTCTCCTGGGGATGTGCAACGGACGTATGTGTGTCTTTATCAAGTGCCGTTTTTTTCCTTCCCAGTGCTGGCTTGGTACCTTCTAAACTGGGGCTGGAGTACTCAGTCCTGGATTAAATGAATGCGGAATGTCTAGGAGCATTTCTAATCTGATGGGTCCATTTCCTGCCCACGAGGCCTGCCTCCCTTCTCTGCTTGGTGTGTGTATGCTCAGCAGTGTGGGTGAGTGTGGTGTCAGCCTAGAACAGCGGTTCCCAGACTTTTGATCTCAGGATTCCTTTCACTGTTAAAAATTATTTTGTAGCCCAAAGAGCTTTTTTTGACAAGGATCATTTCTATTAGTGTTTACTATATTAGAAATTAAAACTGAGAAAGTTTGTTTCTAATATTAAATATTTGTTGTTAAATAATATAATAATATAAATACTTTTGTATTTATTTTTCAATAACTAGAATAAACTCATACATATAAACATATGAGAAGTGGATTTTCCAAAATAAAAAAAATTTAGTGAGAAGAGTGGCATCGTTTTATATTTTTATAAATCTCTTTAGTGTCTGGCTTAATCAGCTGGATTCTCATATTTGCTTCTGCATTGGATCTGTTGTGATTGTGTCATTTGAAATACATGGAGCAAAAGGTGACCTTGCATAGATACATGGTTGGAAAAGGGAGGGAGGAGCTAAGGGACCCCCTGGGGTCCTTAGAGTGACCATACATTGAGAACCATTGACCTAGAAAAATGTAATATAGGAAAACAGCATCTCCCCCAGAGAGAACTTACTGTAAAACATGGACTGCATTACAAAGTCAGAGGGCAGTCATTCCTTTATTCCCGTTAGTTAGGAGCTGAAGGCCAGAGATGCGTGACTGTTCCCCAGCCTGGAGGCGAGCGCAGGGCCTGTCTTGCTGTGCTGAGTCCCAGACTCTGTAGGACAGGAGATTGCATTTGGGAGTCTCATGGAACTCACAGGAATATTTGTTTTAGCTTGGTCAGATTCGTGCAGACAGGTTTCTTGTGTAAAGAAAATCAGTGACGGTTTCTGGGACTCTGCACCATGGAAGAGTTCTGTTTCGGTGAATCTAGATGGTGATGATGTTTATTATTGTTATTATTTGGAATTCATATCAGCTTTCAGTTCCACAGGTTTTGTGAATTCCAAATTTCCTGAAATTCGTTGCTGGGACAAAACTTTCCTTTGCCTCTAGACCTCTGTTAGAAAGTGAGATTTTCAGGCTCAAGTGGAACGTGATAGTCGATAGAGCAGTGGTTCTGCACGCTTGTTCCTCTTTTTGCGTTTCTGCTACAGGAGTATTGTGTGTGTGACTTTTTTTCCCGTTCTGGTTGGAAGCTTGCTTTTTGTATGTTTTTGAATGGCAAATCTGAAGACTGTGCCCCATGCTTGAACGCCATTAATCACACCCATTCGTGCTGGGCATTGTACATGTACTCCCAACTCTGCAAAGTGTGCTTTCTGCCCATTGTAAAGAGGAAGCCGAGGTTCAGAGAGGCTGGATGGTCCATTCCTAGCTGCACATGTGGGGGTCAGAATCGTGCACCATGCCCCTTGCACTTGACCGTGCTGCCTGGCAGACAAATCCACCTAGGGAGATTCTGTCTCCATTTGTCAGAACTCATAAGCCTTATGTTTTAAGTAAGATGTTTAGCTAAATTCTAAAAACATTGTGTTTTTTCTCAGCTATTAAAAATGGGGAGCATAATGCCTGCTGTTCAGGTTGTGTGGGTGAAGTAAGACAGAGCCTGAAGAACCGAGTTCAGTCCTGGCCCAGGATGTGCGGTACCCTGTACCCACGTTATCGTCTCTTTCCTTCTTGTCAAGTGTCTGAGGGCTCATGAAACTAGAACTTGAAATAAAACCTAATTATTCCTCACAAATGCCCCTTAGCTTTTTACTTACTTCATGAATCCCTTCTGTATGGGTAATTCTCCTGATTTCACTTTTATAAAAGTGAGTCCTCCAAGTTGAATAACACTTGCTAAGCCTAATTCAAGCTATGCATTTCTATAAAGAACACACTGGATTTCAAAGGCTTAGTTTAAAAAAAAAACAAAGAATGCAAAATGTTTTATTAATAATTTGTATGTTGCTTACATGTTGAAATGACAATATTTTGTATATGTTGGGTCAAACAGACTATCTTGTCAAAATTAATTTCACCTCTTTTTAATGTGGTTGCTAGAAAATTTTAAATTATGTATGTGGCTCACATTACAGTAAAGTTGCACATGCTGCTCTAGAATAGGAAAATGCACAAGCATAACTGCACCCTCTCATACTCTCACACACGCACACTCAGTTCTGCACACAGCCCACAGGGGTTCAGAGACCGGGAGGGCCCCCTTCACAGCTGCTAGGTTAACCCTGGAGTAGAGGATCAAGCTGGGAGGGTAGGCGAGGAGGTGAATGTGTGGAGCTCTATTGGGGAGCTATTGATTGCTTTCTAGCATTGGGGTGATATGTGCAGAGTGTGTTGGGGAAAGATTTGTTAGGGTAAGAGGTAGAGCAGGCAAGAAATGAAGACAGGAAAAGAAATCAGGAAAGTAGTTAGGAGACTGTTGCCATTCTCTTAAGTCCAGTTCAGATAAACCGATCTGGATTGATTAAATGCCTTCTCACGAGGCTGAGGGAGAGCACACGAATGTATCCTCCTTCCTTTGCTGAGACCAAATAGTTAAGGTGAACGAACAGTCAACGTGTGGCCTAGATACACTTTCTGCCTTTGCTGATCCAGATGAGGCCATAATTCTTACCTGGGTCCAAACTTGGCCTTGGCCGAGCATTTCTTTTAATCAGGCAGTTTTCTGCTCCCTGGAAACACACTTCCCCATCAGTCACATTCTAGAAGGACGAGGTGAGGTGGGATTTGACAAGTATCAACTACAAAAGCCTGCTAGACAAAAGAAGTCTTTAAACCTTATCCGAATACCAGCTTTTTGTGAAAATAATCAGGGTATCGAGAGCTTTCTTTTCCCCCCTCCCCAAAGCCTCAGTGCATGGTTGTATATCCTAGTTGTAAGTCCTTCTAGTTCTCCTATGTGAGCTGCGGCCACAGCATGGCTACTGACAGACAGGTGGTGTGGTTCCGCGACTGGGAAGCGAACCCCGGCCGCCGAAGCGGTGAGCGCCCAACTTGAACCACTAGGCCGTCAGGGCCGGCTTGAAGTTTTGTTTTTTTTAATCTTTTTTTGGGAGGTAACTCTTTTGTGTAAAAGAAAACACTCGTTGCTCCTCAGTCTGTTTCAAAGCACTGCCTCTGGTTTAACAGTTCAGAATATGCATGTGGCGTGAAGCATTTGCAGGCAAAATATGTGCAGTCTGGGAAAAGCTGATCAGGGAGTGTCTGTAGCTAGGCGAGGCTTTTGGCTGCATTTAGATGATGCTGGAACAGTATGGTGGTAAAGAACCACAGCTGTCTGCTCCTCTTGAGAGTGTAGGATCGATAGGTTTTTTTTTGTTGTTTTAGATTGAAATCTAGATATCTGCAGGACCAAAGGTAGTTCTAATTTCTTTCTCCTGAACCACCACAAAAAAACATGAATAATTGCTGATTTTTGATTGCAACATTATTCTAAAAACAACCAGCTGACCTTGTTTGCAGAGCTGATTTACGATACGATCCAGCTTCTAAAGATCTGTTGCTTTGACCTGAAGCACCTCGGATTTCTGGTTCAAGGGGCTTTCTCTTTGCAGTTACAGCTCATGTGTGTTGTTTTCACAGGACGAACGTTCCCAACGCATCCGTACTTCTCCGCCCAGCTGGGAGCAGGGCAGCTGTCCCTTTACAACATTCTGAAGGCCTACTCACTTCTAGACCAGGAAGTAGGGTATTGCCAAGGCCTGAGCTTTGTAGCAGGCATTCTGCTGCTTCACATGGGTGAGGAAGAGGCCTTTAACATGCTCAAGTTCCTGATGTTTGATATGGGACTGCGGAAGCAGTATCGGCCGGACATGATCATTTTACAGGTAGAGAGCGTCCTACGTCTTTGATGAGACAAATGCCAAAAACGTGTGTGATTCCTTTCCAGGTCTATTCAAGGAACTTTTTCACCAGCAGTTAACATTGTAATAGCTGTCATTGCTGAGAACTTACTCTGTGCTAAGTGTTAACCAAGTGTTTCATATGCACCTAGCTCCTTAATAACCCTTAGGAAAACACTATTAATCAGCTCAATTTATAGACGGGAAAACTAAGGCTCAGAGAGGTTACATAATTTGACCAGGTCACACAGCTAGCAAGTGGCGGAGTTGGGATTTAAACCCAGGCCTGTCTGACTGCAGGGCCCTCCCTTTCACCCCTCAGGAAACCGTCTTCAGGTAATCTAATTCCTGCCTCCCACTGTATTTGCTACTTCCTCCTCCAGGGACCCCACCCCACCCCCAGCCCCCAGCCCTCAGCCCCTGTCACCCGGAATTCAGCTCAAATATTACATCCTGGAGGAGCTCCTCCTGGCCACCCTCCTGTCGAGTCCCTCCACTTCTGCCCCGGCACACTGTGTCACGTGATCCTGTCTCATTTCTTCTGCATAGCACTCTCACTGCCTGAGATTATCCTGTGTCCTTACACTCATTTACCTGTTTATTTTCTGACTTGCCTTAGCATATATTGTGAGAGGGGGATGTTACCCATCTTGGAGCTGCATCTCTAGTTCCTAGAACAGTGCCTGGGATGAAGTAGGCACCCAGTCAGTATCTGTTGAATGGACGAGTGACAGGGCAGGTCATATCAAAAGGAAACCAAACACAGCAGCAAGCACCAAGTGCTGCTGTCGCCACCTTTCAGAGGGAGGAGGACCCTGGATCCTGCTCTGGGAATATTCCTAAACATTGGAGCACATGTTTACGTGTTCATTTACCAGCAAGACATGATTTCAGAGCCTTAGAAAGTATGCTTGGAAAGCTTACATTCGAGCCAAGGACTCTTTCAGAGCACCAGATTGCGTGGTTAAAAATCCTCTTACCTCCACCTGTGAATATGAACCACATGAACATAAATCTCATGAATGAAGCCATTTCATTCATTAAAAGATTTTGGCCCAATAACACTTTCCACAAATCCTGTCAAGGTCTTCCTACATTCTCCCCATTAGCTTTAATATAGGCACACCTGACATCTAAGCAGAATTTTTGAGTTTTATATAATTTAGTATCATGACACATGACTCTTTTTGGGCTGGTGGCCTGGGTGATTAGATTCTTTTCAATATGAAAAAGCCACAGCTGTTATTGGAGGACTGTATGGTCTGGGCCCCTGGACACAGTCTTTTTCCGGTTTGGACAGTACATATCCAGCTTGTAGCATCTTTATAGGGTTCTGACCCTCTCTAGGTTATTATTTCTTTGGGCTCGCTTAAGCCATGGGACACTGAAAGCTGGGCTGGCTCTAGGACCTCTGTGAGCCCTGGGACTCATCCTGGGGCTGACCGCCGGAACCATATCACTCTGAAGAGGGAACCCTTTCAGTTGAAGTTCAACTTCAGTTGGAAAAGTTATTTTCTCCATCTTGAGATAAACATTTGTCTTTTTATTTTAATTTGCCCAAGATCTGTATATTTCGCATTATAAACCTAAAGAAATCACATTCGTCCTGCCCACTGAGTAATTTGGGGGTTCAGAGGAAATTTACTGAGTGAATAGCACAATGGAATGCATCTACAGAAGCATCATATGCACCCACTTCACTCTTAGCAGAGAGGCTGGCTTTTTATTTCTAATTCCTCTGGGTTTGAGGTTTGCTAGGAGTGTGTATTTGTAAGAGAATTTGAGAAATGTTTTCACAAGACAGATGTTTAGGTTCTCTTACCCAAGGAACACAAGGGGACAGTAAAAAGAAAGGAAGTGGTAGGAGAAGACCCAACATGAGTGTTCTGGGCCTGCGCCCAGCCGGTGCCTCGCGTGCAGCAGGCACCCGTAAACGCTTGGTAGATAAAGGAGTAGTTGAGATCAGTGGATATCACAGTTCAGATGGAATGTTTCAAGTTCTAGTAACTCCTCTCTTACCCCTCGTGAGTGGGATAGGTAACTGAATACATGTGGCAGATATTTAGTTCTGACACCTGTGTGCGTGTATCCCCACAGATCCAGATGTACCAGCTCTCAAGGCTTCTCCACGACTACCACAGAGACCTTTACAATCACCTCGAGGAGCACGAGATTGGCCCCAGCCTCTATGCTGCCCCCTGGTTTCTCACCGTGTTTGCCTCACAGTTCCCATTGGGATTTGTAGCCAGAGTCTTTGGTAAGTGTGTGTAAATCTGTCTGCCAGAACCAGCATCCTCATGTTAGGTGAGAAACATTTATTGTCACTCCGCGCTGGGTCTCCTTCCTTTTATACCTGTCTTCCACAAGAACAAGGTACTGTTTACGTTCTGAGTTTAGTCAGCATTGGGTTTTGTGCATTTCAAGACGTGCTTAACTTCTGATGATCATTGGGCTTCCCTAGATGCCTTCATCTTGTGGGATTTAGACCCAGTTTCCTCACCACCTGGCTGTCCCTGGAGCAGACATCTTAAAGACCTGGCCAAGGAGCTCCATGCATGTATTCCAGGCACATCTGTCATGAATCATGTTCCTCAACCTCTCTGGCCCGTGACTCTGTTTACTGATAGCTCCTTAAAACTTTTCAACCGATGACTTCTGGGCTGCTCTTCTTTCTAGATTCCCTTCGCATCTCCTCTTTCCCTACCCTTGGCTCTTCATTTTCTCTGCGGTCCCGCTCTTGAAGACACCTCTGTGTCAATGAGTGACTCACTGTTCCATCCTCACGTGACCCCTGCCTCATCTTCCCGAATGTTGTGACAGCTGCTTCCACTTCTGTGCCCCACCGCAACCATAGGTTGTTCACATTTCAGACCATCTCCTGTTTTCTCTATTTACTTTTTAAGAAGATTGTCTCCGTCAAAGTTAAACAGGTGTTCGTGTGCAGAGTCTCAAAACTATACCTCAATAGAAAAATAAAAAATAAAAATTTTAAAAAACTGCCTTGAGATGGCAGGGACCAGTGCACCCTCTTGGATACCAGGAGCCGAGTGAACACCCAGTCAATTCTTATATAGTGTGTTTTCCCTACTTCAGAATGGAATAGTAATTTTGACAATTCATGTTATTTTTATTTTTTTAATGTGGAGGAGGAGGTTATTAAAAAATTGATAGTTATCACATGTTAAGTTGTTTTAAAGTATCATTTATGTTCAGTCACTTGCTAGCTTAAAAACCTGTCATCTTATACTTTTTTAGATTTGTTTTTAGAATTAGCATCTTAAAGGGAATGTTCGAAAACGTTGAGAGAGTACTGCTTTACGCATACTCGGGGAAGACAGCTTATATGTCCAAATTCTAGAAATCCTAAAATTTGCTTTTTAATGTGAATGGGCTTTGATTTGTCTTCTCTCCTCCTTTTCCCTCCAAAGTACTAGATTTTTATTATTACTCACTTCTGTCCACAGGAACTTTTAAAGACTTCCCCATTTGACTTTACTAGAAGAATCCATGTTCTTAAAATATTCATTACCTTCTTTTTCTCATAACTACCTTCCGAAATTGATTTTTATTTTCTGTCCCTAAAAAAATAATCGTTGAAAAAAATAGATACTAAAAACTCTCTCCTGGTTAAATAAATCGTTAGTGAGATTTCATCAAGGTTTTATACCATAGTTTAAAAAAAAAAGATAACTAAAAGCCTCAAAATTTTCTGCTTAGTTTACTAACAAAAGAGTCACAGAAACTGTAAGACCTTTAGGTGTAGGCTTCAGTCTTTCTTTACCCAAATTTCTGTGTTTCTCACTCTGGAAATTAAAATTGTTAGTCCACCTTACTTTCCTCCTGGTTCTCTACTGCATTTTTCAGGGTAATGGAGAGGAGTGAAGATTGAAAGGGCATGGAGGGAGTGTTGTTAATGGTTTGAAAACAGCTCAAGCATCGAATTACACTGTTTGTGAGGAAAATTCTACAAAGAGGCCTGTGCAGGAGGGGCTGAGTTATCACTGCCCCCAGCTATAGGCAGAGAGTTCTGGGCTCCAGGGCCGTAAAGCTCTAGGAGAAACTCTGTCCTTAGGCTGCATAAGTGCATAAGAGGCTTTAACAACAAACACACTCTGCTTTGGAAATGACAGCCCTTCTGTTGCAGAATATTCGAAACTATGAAGTTCATCCTAATGTCTTCATAAATAAAAGCTGAAGCCAGTAAAAGGATATTTTTCTCTATATTATATAGTTAGTGGTAGGTCTTGGAGTTTCTTATACATTATGCATAAGGATGCCAGTGTCTGTGTAATTCCTGGATCCCACAGACCCATGCTGTCCTAAGTGGGTTCATGTCCAGCTGGCTAAGGGCTCTGGCTCCTCAGATTATAGGCAGGAAGTAGAAACTCAAGGCAGCATTGTGTTGTGATGTCATTTTGCAAAAACTGCTGTTTTTTTGCACAGTCCATCCCATCTATCAGTCCTGAAAAACTGTTTTATTAGTAGGTTCCGTAGACAAGTTACGTTTCTTAAAAACCATTTCTGTATGTAGCGTAGGTGACTTGAACCGTGTTTGTTTAGCTCCATGATGGTGAATAGCTTCGTTTTAAATCCCAAAGCCTGCCATTCATACCCTGTAGTCTTTTTTGGCCTGAAGCCCATTTCATTATAAGCCTTCAGGCCTAGATAAACCCAAAAAACAAATGGACCATTGTTAACTATTCACTATTTTATATACAAGTAAAGGATTCTCAGCGTGCAGTCAGCATAGCTCGTATATTAGTAGATTACCTCAAATTAAGTGTAATGTACTTGGAGGGACAGTTGCCAATAATGTGTGTGGCTTAACCTTCACATGGTAATCATGCTTTTCTGAATGTCAGTCCTTCTCTCTGGGTGTCACATGATGTAAAATAGCCTCCTCCTGCATTTTTCCAGTTTGGGTATAGAGGGGTCCTGAGAGAGATGCCTGCTCTGTTCACCTTCTAATTGTCTGCCTTTGGAAAAAATCTGGAAAATAGGACCTGGGCTGCTCCTCGTGGAGGAGGAGGCTGCAGTATCAGGCTCCTGATGTTTGTGCTGCCAAGTAGGTGAGAGAGGAGGTGGAATATAAAAACTAAGTGTTTGGCAAAAAACACAGAAGCCACCTGTAATATAGGGAAGGATTCAGAGAGGCTTTAGGACTGAAACAGACTGGGAAAACAAGATTGTTTTTACGGCCAGGAAAAATGGCTCCTCGGGTAACGTGATCCAGTGGTGACGAAGTGAGTTTTTGCAAAATCTGTTTGTGCTGTTGCTCTGCTGCAACGCTGTCATCTTTCATCTCCCTCCCACCTGTTCCTGGTAGGAATGTAGGGGTGTCACACCTGGAGGACTATAGCCTCCCAGGAGAAGGTTAAGGAGAGGGATTGCCCTGGACCAAGACAAAGCCGGCGGGAGAAGAGATGGAGTACGAGTTTGCTTACTGGCCTCGTGCTTGGCGTTTATCATTTTCCCCCATAGGAAAATTGCACTTTTATATCCTGGGGAGTTTCAAATAGAGTTGCCATACACGTTAACACAATAACAGGGCTGCTGAGGTATCTTCAAAGGAAAGTAGTTATTTGCATTATTCTCAGCAAGTAATTGGCAGAGTGGTGGAGTCAGCTGAATTTAAGGGTCCCTCTACTTCCTGCCTGATAAAACCCTTTGCCTGTTTCTAGGTGACTTGAAAAAGGAGAGAAGAAAGGAAGTTGGCCACAGTGTTGAGCTAGGCCACTGCTCCAGCTGTTCACTTTCTTCTGCAGTGATTTTCAAATGTGGGAAATTAACTCACTTTTTCCCAAGGAGATTATTGTTTTTTTAAAAAAATTTCATAATGTAAATGTGTGAAGAAGATGGGCAAAATGAAAATAATTGGGTTGGGGCAGTGAGTTTGTGGGTAACATTTTTCTTTACTGTTATTTAAAAATTATTTAATTTTTTTAAATTTCCAGAGGGAGAAAAATGCACTCACTGTTTAAAGCATATAGATATTGCGCCACACGTGTAGTCAGATAAATTTAGGAGCCACTTCCTCCAAGCAAAACTTTGAAGGATCCGTCCTTCAACCTGTCAGGCACATTCCTTCATTGTGCAGCCACATTAACTCCTTACTTGAGACCTCCCTAGTCTAACAGAAGTTTCTAGGGCTGAGCTTTCCCAGTCTCACTAGTGTGGACAACTGGCCGGCTTGTCTTCAGCAAGATGGTGCCTGGAGCTGGCCTCCAGGAGTGCTGATGAATCGAGCATCTCACTGCTGGCAGCACGCACTTGTGAGTCTGCTGGTGGGAATCAGCGTGGTCTTGCCAGTAGCTCGCAGAAGGTGGCTTTTCTCTGTCTAAAGCTAGCTCACCCTTGCGAGGATCAGCCCCATGACGTGGATCTCGTTAACATCATCCCCTTACCAGTGCGCTTACCTACTCAGAAAAAAGGAACAGAAAGCCTTCGGTGACCCCTAGTGCGCTGGGTAGTTAGAACGCAAGGCCTGGGCAGAAAGCCCTTGAGGTCTGGCCCCCGTCTTTCCCTGCAGCCAGAGCTCTGGGCTTACCATGCTCTTTTCAGGCTCCTGCACGCGCTATGTGGTTCTTTCACGCCTCTCTGCGTTTACACCTTCTTTTCCTTCTGCTCAGAGTAATATCCCCTGGCTTCTCACCTAGCAGGTTTCTATTGGTTCTTCTAGACTTGCTTTGCCAGCCACCTCTTCTTGGACTTCTGTCTTCCCTTTTGTTCTCATAATACCCTGGGCATAACTCTACGAAACGGATAGTTGTGGTGTCTCGGTGGTTTATTCTTTGTGCTTTGTTCATGGCTTAATCCCCAGAGCCCAGGACGATGCCTGGCTTATACCCAATGCTCAGTGAACGCTTGTTAACCTGAAGCAGAGAAACTTCTCAGCGGATAAGAGTGTTCCTAAGGTGTTGGACAGCATTAGGAAAGATTTCTTTATTGTTACATTAAATACAGCAGTAGATCTAATGAAATAAACATGTCCAGGCTAATGTTTTATTTCTTTAACATACCAATAGAGTTAAAAAAATAAATAAATAAAAACTTCCACACTTCCTTTTATTTTCTTCATACAGTCCCAAAAGTCTTAGTTTAGACTCGTAACAAGCATTCTACTCAGTAGATTTGTTATAAAAGCCAAGATCCTAAAGGAATAAAACTTGGAAGACCTGTTGTTAACCTTAGAGACTGCTGATGTGGATTGCATATTTGATTATGCTCATGAAAGTTCCCCAATAATAATTTATTTTAGTTGGCTTAGATGTGGTACTGTATCTAGTTTTAAGATACTTGTCCCTCAGCATCTAAAGATACCGAGCTATAGCCAGTCATTGCTCTGACCGTGCAGTCCTTTCCCCAGGAGCCCTGCGCAGAATGTCTTGATATTTATTCTGATAATGCCATCAATTTTTGTTCAGCTATAAATGTTCATATATTGAAAGGAAATCTTACTGTCTAAACCACAGAAACTTCAAATTTACTTTGTTTTGTTTTGGGAAATATCATTTCTGTTTAAAAATACATCTTGGTGATAGTGCTATTTTAGATCTTTTTATTTGCTGTGGTGGTGAATTACATGGGTAGACTGTATGTTTTATAAAGCAGACATTTCACAGGAGTATTCTGCCATAGCGCTGCCTTGAGACAGGTAAAACTTCCCCTAAGAAGCTCAGATTTCAAAGATACAATCAGTTCTCTAATGTATCTTTGCAGCCTCTACAGCCAAACCTAAGGAGGCAGCATGCATCCTTTCCAGTGTCCTGGGGCCGCCGTGAACCATGAGCAGTGGCGTTGTTTGCGGGAACTGTGGCTGAGCTCTGTGCGAGGGACAGGCTGATCTCAGCGGCGTCATTGCTTAGGGCTGGTTAAGGCCTTTGTGAAGGTCACAGAGCATCACCATGGCTAACCCAGCTGGCCGAGTCTCTCCTGTGTGCTGTCCACAAACTATTCTGACGCAGACACATTTCCCGTTCGCACAGCAGCATCCAGCCTTTGCCTTCCTGTTTCTTAGCGGCTTTTACATTGTCATCACACTAAACCACCTAGAGAGACACGTGCTGGGGAGTCTTCTCTCACCTGCTTTTGTCTTACTTGACTTACTGAAATTTACAACTTTGTCTCTTCCATTATCCTGCAACAAAAACAAAAGAGAGAAAAGAAACATTGACAGTTGCCTCTGATCATCTTTAAAACTGTAGTTTTTCTTACATTGTTGTTCCAGTTGTTAGGTAACATGCCTGAATGTAGTCACCCAACAATTAGTTATTAGGGCTGTGCTTTAGCCCAAGGACACTTCAGTCTCTGTCTCAGTGGCTTCACCTCCATGAGGAAGGGGGTCCAGGCCTGGGCTGCCTGCTTGCCAGTTGCCTTGGCCGCTTGCGCTCGCCCTCCCTGTGTACGGTCGGTGTAGATTTCCTGACGTTTGCCAACTGTTCTAAAAAAAATATGGCAAGAACTAGAAAAAAGCTTTGACAGAGTTCTTTGAATTCCTTAGAGGAAAAAATGTTTTTTATTCCATTTTATGCTAAAATTTGGTCTACTTGTAAGTATTTAATAATGTACTTTTGCAATTGTGCAGACTTTTTACAGTTTTTAGAGATCTTTTAATTCCCCTTATTTCAACGGAGGAAGCAGAGACATTTTTTCCATCTTAATTTCTGATGTTGTATCTATAAAAATCTTTCAGTTTGGGCCATAAAAACATATGTTTTAGTAACTACTTTAAAATCCAGAGCATTCCTGGAAAAATAGACTAATAAAAAGTTTTCTTTTTCTCCATTTAACTTCTTTTTCTCTTTTTTTTTTTTTGTGAGGAAGATCACCCCTGAGCTAACATCCGTGCTAATCCTCCTCTTTTTTGCTGAGGAAGACCGGCTCTGAGCTAACATCTATTGCCAATCCTCCTCCTTTTTTTTTTCTCCCAAAGCCCCAGTAGATAGTTGTATGTCATAGTTGTACATCCTTCTAGTTGCTGTATGTGGGACGCGGCCTCAGCATGGCTGGAAAAGCGGTGCGTCGGTGCGCGCCCGGAATCTGAACCCGGGCCGCCAGTAGCGGAGCGCGTGCACTTAACCGCTAAGCCATGGGGCCGGCCCTCCATTTAACTTTTAAAGCATGCTTAAATTTAATATATTTTTGGAGCAAAAAAAAACAATCATCTGAACCTGTGATAAAATCTTAGCAGTATGTTTTTGTTTTTTTTTTGTATTATTTGCAGTATTCAAATATTGCACTGTTATCTTGACAACTCTATCTGAAATATCAAGCTCTTAAAGTTTGCAGTTTGGGTTTACGTTTCCCACCGTCCTGCTCTATGATGTACAGAAAAGAAAATGGAGTGGTATTTCATCAGAAACTGGTCTGGTTTAACTTCTTGCATTTCTGTGTTTTCCCAGATATGATCTTCCTTCAGGGATCAGAGGTCATGTTTAAAGTGGCGTTAAGTTTGTTGGGAAGCCATAAGCCCTTGATTCTGCAGCATGAAAATCTGGAAACCATAGTTGACTTTATAAAAAACACACTCCCCAATCTGGGCTTGGTGCAAATGGAAAAGACCATCAATCAGGTATGATTCCGTTCGAACCTTCCAAAGGCTTAAGCAATCCTGAATATGTAGAAGCTTAAATTTTTTTCTTTTTTCCTTTTTTTGAGCAGGGCCTATTTCCTGCCCCTTTGTATTCTGAGCAGCATCTTGTGTGATGCCTGGCGTGTAGGAGACACGTCACAAATGTGTGTTCAGTGATTAAATGCGTGTCTGAGTGTGCATGTGCTAAGTGTAATGGGGAAATGCCACATGGAAACACGGTGGTAGTGTTTAGGTATGATAACCAGCACAAATTCTCAGTTTCTTGTAATTAAGAGGTTTCACCCCTAGTCATTTGTTGTTCTGAAATACATACGTTTACTCAATGCAAGGCTTTTGTAAAATGAGTGCTTTGATTTTTCTGCTGAATGATATTAATTGGAATTTTTAAAAAATAACTCTGATAGCAAAGTTGTGATAGAGAGTATGTATTCTATATTTGTTTCATGATGTGTGTGTGTGTTTTTTTTTTTAAATAGAATTCACTTCCACGTCTGTGGTTTCAGCACCTCTGGTTTCTGTGTACAGTGGTACCATTACTGTCTGAAATGTTAGAGGTGAAGGGTGAACTGAGCTGGGAATTACAACTAGACCAGTTGTTAAATGGTCTGGGTTAGGGGTGGGAGCAGATTTTGACTCTATAACGAAGAATCTTCCAGTAGTGACTGCTGACTATGAAGGACTGAGCTGCTTAGTAGAGGGGATGAGGTCACCATTGGAAGTGTCCAGAAGTTGGATGGCTAAGAATGCTCTGGAAGAGATTTCTGCATCAGGGCACTGCAGAGTCATCAGTCAGGCCTCTCATAAGCCTAGAACTTACCTTACCTGCTCCAAATATAACGAAAACAGAGCAATTAGGTAAAAACAGATAGTGAAATAAAGCTATTTTTTAAAAAATCCTCATTCCGAGAATTTCTGATAGTTCAAGAGGAGTCCAGTGATTCACGTGGATTGCACCCAGATGCAGCATTTGTGATGTCATTTGCTGCCCCTCCTTAGGTGTTGAGCACAGAAAAAGAAGCAAGTCTGGCTTGGAAAAGGGAGCGGATTTCATCCCGATGGTTAGTTTGGACCTCTGCACATTTCGTATGCCTGTGTGAAAGAGCAGTTCTTTTCCGCTCTTCCTCCTCGTCTTTAGTTAATTGATAGGCTCTGCATCTCTCTGTATTTAACTTCCCTGGCACGTTCCTCTCAGTGTGAATAGCTTTGGCTTATTGAAGCCCTACTTTTTGCCAGGTTCTGTGTGAATCTGTATATATACATGATCTCATTTGGTCATGACCGCATTCCGGAGAGGAGGGGTGGTTTTAACCCATGAGGAACCTGGGGCTTAGAGTGGTTAATTAACTGCCCACAATAACCCTGCTGCAGAGTTGGGGAGGAGAAGGTTTCAGACTCTGGTCCTCTCTCCTCAAAGTGCATTAGCAGCTACTCAACCCCGCCAGGTACCTCCGGGTGTCGTCTAATTACAGAGTTTTCTGTATTTTACCTGTACCTTAATACTGAATTCTCCACCCTTGTGATTCTTTAACTTATGGCATTTGCGTGCGTTTATTCCCATTTAGAGCTTTCACTGAACACATGTGTATGTTATGCCTGCCGGGTCAGACACAGGGCCTACAGCAGTGTCTGTGCCCAGGGAGTGGCTTGACTTGGCTCCTAGCTCCTGGCTCTAAGGCAGGCAGTCTCGGCTGACATTCAGTTTACCTCCCAGATACTGAGCCTCAGGAAAAAAAGTCCCATATTTTCCCTCTTTTCTGTAAAAGGTTACTTATTGAGAGTATCAGGTATCTTTAAATGCTGGAAGAATGGAAATGGGCACAACACAGAGACAGAACAGTTTTGTGTGTGTCTACCTGATTTGTTTTAGGCAGCTGTTTTGAACACGTAATCCTTTATTCCACTGACTCCTTAACGACTCTGGGACATGTGTTATAATCCCCGGGTTTTTTTGTTTTTTTGTTTTTTTTTTTTTGGTGAGGAAGATTGGCCCTGGGCTAACATCCATGCCCATCTTCCTCTACTTTATATGGGATGCCGCCACAGCATGGCTTGACAAGCAGTGCATAGGTCTGAGCCCGGGATTGAACCTGCGAGCCCTGGGCTGCCAAAGCGGAGCACATGAACTTAACCGCTAGCCCCCGGGCCAGCCCCATAATCCCTACGTTTTTAGATGGGAAAAACTGGGCATGGAGAGAGTAACATGCCCAGCACCCTGTATAAAGTGGTGGAGCCAAGAAGGTAATCTGTCTCTCTGACACCAAAGCCCATCCTATGCAGAAAATAACGATGTCATCCAGTAATTTCAAGTATGGTAAGAACTACAGTGGTGCTTGTGCAAAGGCTTATAGGAGCCAGGCTGGTGGAGTGAGTGCGTGCTGCCGGTTGAGAATCGAAGGGGTTTCAGCCGGGCCTAAAAGAATGAGCTAAGTCAGGGGTCGCACACATTTTCTATAGAGGGCCAGATAGTAAGTATTCTAGGCTTTGTGGGCCATAAGGTCTCTGCAACCACTCAACTGTGCCTTTGCAGCACAAAAGCAGCCACAGGTAGTATGTATAGAAATGAAATTGTTGCAGTAAAACTTTATTTACAAAAATAAATAATCTGTCCCATGCAGTGGGACACAGTCAGTCCACAGGCTGTAGTTTGCTGACCCCTGACCACAGCAGACGCAAAGGCACGGGAGTGAGAGAGAGAAATTCTAGATGCCTGACAGGTTCAGCTTTTTAGGGGACGTTGGAGATTGGGAGAGGGCAGTGTAGGGAACACAAAATCTACATTTCAGGGCCCAGGTTTTCATTCTGCAAAGTCTTGATGAGAAACAGTTATAATGCCAGGCAGCTCTCTGCCCTCTTCCCCTCTCATGTTTTTCATGTGGAACTAAACATCTGAGTGCTGTCAGGCTTTCTGCCCTCTCACTGTCTCCTCCCCTCCAGAGGGTGCTCTAGTCTCAAGTCCTACTCAGGGATGAGGCCTGAGATGCAGTGCAGTTCCTCTGCTGCCTTAGAGAACCCCCAGGCTCAAATCTTGGAGGTTCACAGGGTGGAAGTGACAGATGCATTAACTGCACACGACTGAACCTTCTGTCCTGTGTATGGATGGGGTGGGGTCTGGGTGGTCCTCTGTGATAGCCATGGCTCCATTTCATCAAATGCCCTCTCTATGGATGGCCTCAGCTTGAGCAGTGGGACACAGCCTGCCTCCAGGATGGGAGAGGAAGTAGCTAAGGACAGGGCTCTGGAGCTCCAGCTCTGGACAGGCTGGGAGCAGCCCCAGAGGGGCAGATTCAGAATTGACCGAGTCCAGAGCAGAAGGGCAAGGGTCTCTGAAGGCCCTGTGGTAGTTCCTCAGTGTGAATTAACTGTCAGTTGAATATAAGCCATAAAATCCTCTGACCCAAGAAGGGAGGAAGCCCCGGGAATGACAAACGAAGAGAGGGAGGCCAGTTTGTGTTCCTGTCCCAGTGAGTGCCTCTGCCTGCGCAGCCTCGGGTCAGGGTAAGTAAGAAAGAGTTGAAGGGGCGCTTGGGAAGACGGGCAGATAGCCTATTTTTAACATCCTTTGGGCTGTATTCAAAGTGTGGCCCCAGACCAGCACCGTCACTGTATCATGTAGAAACTTGTTAGAAACCAGCATCTGAGGCCCCACCCCAGCCCTGCTGAGTCAGCATCTGCATTTTAATAAGATCCCCCGGGGGTTCACACTCAACACGAACATTTGAGAAGCTCTGTTATGGGCAACTTCATTGTAAACACACTGGGCAATTCTTTGTTCTAGTTGAGCTTGTAGGATAGAAACCAGAATCTTAACAACGTTCCTTTGTTCAGAAGATGCTCCTCAAAATCGCAGTGGCGAGGCTGCCTCTTCTCCCCTTGGGTGGAGCCCTCGCTCCTTGGGCAGTTTGCACTGTTGAAAATGAGTACTTTTTTAAACAGCCAATCAGTGCTGTACCAAGAGGGTGGGGTACAGTGAGGAGGAGTATTTTACCACTGGCATTGTTTGGAATTGCTTGCATGTGGTGATAATAAAAAGCAGACCAATTTTTAGTTGGGTTCATTATTGTTTTTAAATTCACTGCAGATTCTGCGCCTCCTTATTGCCCATAACCAGGCAGACTGCTCCACTGTCCAGCCTTTGGTGTGCCACGGAGACCAACAGATTGGGGGGCAGGGTCTGGGGATTGGGAAAATGGAAAGTATGTGGCTAGTTCTGCAGACATGAGGGTTAATGGCTTCGTTATACTGAGTGTCCACAGACTGCAAAGAGAAACACTAAGTCTCCAATAGCAAATAAGCCAAGAACATAAACAGATAATTCACTAAAAAGGAGATTCATCTAGTAAACAAATATCTGGGAAAATATTTAGCTTCGTAATTTAAATTTAAAGAACATATAATGCTTTACCTACTTGACTAACAAAATGGAATTTTTTAATGCCAATACACAGTGCCAAAGGTATACTGTATCTGGCACATTTGTATGTTGCTAATGGCATTGTACATTGATTATTCCCACTTGGGAAGTAATTTGGCAATACGTATCACAAGCCAGTGAAATATCCATAGCCTTTGACTCAGTAATCCCATTTCTTGGAATGTATCCTTAGGAAATAATCCAAAACATGGGGAAAGCAATATGTACAAGGATGTTTAGAGTTGTCATTTACAACAAAAACTCTTGCAAGTAACTAGATATCCAAAACTTGATGAATGGATTAACATGGTTATATGGTGAGTTGGTACAATACCATGAAACCATTTATAATTATGGTTATGAAAAATATATAGCAATTTGAAAAAGCATTGTTTGAGGACCAGGGCTCTCCTTTTACCACAAGCCACATACTGCCATGGTTTGGGATAAATTCTGGGGCATAACTGCAAAATATCAAGGGCTGTAAGTGTTTTGGCAGCCAGAAGATAATGATGCAATTAAGCAGAGCTGATTATTACCCAGGATGGTTCCTAGGGCTTAATGGAGGCCTGAAAGAGTGTGTGGCTTTGGGCACAGCTGAGAGCCATTAACCTTAGAGCATCAATCTGTATAAAAGGCCAGAGGTTTTGTTCCTGGGTTTTCCAGGTTAGGAGCTCATTTAAAAATAAATCTTTGGGGCGGGGGGAAGTAACTGTGTCTATGACATTTATTCTGCACCATATTTCTAATTACATACTAATGCCATGGCAATCTCGGTTTTAATGTTTGTGGTTTTTACTCTGTTTGAGCTATTCAGAAGTTCCATGAAGTGGCATCCTTGGTAATTTTGCTGAAGCACAAGGTTGAATGTGAGGGTTGCATGACAAGTGTGTGGAAGCAGATCCCTTAGCTAAGTGAGCAGCTACTCAACCTGCCAGGCACATGCTGAGAACTTGCATGAGTTGTCTCGTGTAATTCCCTCAGCGATGCTGGGAGATGGGTGTTTTCACCCCCTGCTGGAGGCCAGGAGCTGAGACTGGGAGAGGTCAAGTCACTTGCTCAAGGTCGTTCAGTGATTTGCCAGTTGGAGCCACGATTCGAGGGCTGACTCAAAGCCTCTGAGTCAGTTTCCTCGACTGTAAACATGATCATCCCTGCTGACCTCACAGTCACTCTGAGGGACAACGGAGAATCAGATCAAGGCAGTAAACTGCTCATACACATGCCACAAATACAATCTGTATTAGTTTTTCAGCATAGAATGACTTTTGTGCCTCATTAGTATTGTCCACTGAATTAAAGTGAAAACCAAGAAGCTGAAAAATTAATCTCAAGAGAAAATAAGACTGTTGGGAATGGTGAGAAAGAAAACGTGGTTTTTGAAAATTGATTTCAGGGAAGGTAAGACTCATCTGTTTTTGAGTGCTAACAGGGTGCCATCAGGGGAAATGAGTTTTTCATTGACTTTAACTATGTTGAAGTGTCTCTCTTAAGGAAATGCAGTGAAGTCAGTTTCTGCTCTTGTAAAGTCTAACTTCATTCTCTGTGTGTGTGTTGTGATCATGCTGGCTTTTTTTTACGTGGTCACTGAAGTTGCAGATCCCCCAAATCCACATTGGGGTTTCGCTCCTTGCTGAGAGGCACAGCCCCATGGGTGATCCCACAGAAATAATGGGAGAGAGAGGAGGTGCCTTGGACAGCAGCGGCATCTGCCTGCTGACCCCCTCGTCAGCCTTGTTTCCACCAGGCTCACTCACCAAGAGAAAGTACAGACGTGAACAGCTCACTCACTTGTGTGCTCTGGGGTTGTTTTTCTCACGGGTGGTTTTTTTCATCACTGTTACTATTATGGGAAGGAAGGCAACTCAGGCATTGTTTCGTATTCACTCATCTGTGTGGGTGACATTTGGGTTTTGGCTCTTTTCTGCATATTTTGTGTGCAAAGGAGGGTTCTTCAGTAAACAGTTCCATTACTTACCTGTTCTTGTAACAGCTGAAAACCCAACTGAACTATAAACTTTGACTTGGTGACTGGGCAAATAGGGCTATGATTCTTTTGTTTTGTTTTGTTTTCTCCCTTTGACCCACAGTTTATGTATCTAACCTAATAGAATTTTCAGAGAAAAAGGAAATAGGTACTGAAATAAGAACTAAAACTAAATTTTTGTAAGCCTTTTCAAAAGTAAGGTTTTGGCTTTTGGAAAATGAGTATCAGAGACCCATTCTTACTGTTACCTTAGGCTTATTTCTCAATGCTTCTTATATCATTTTTTCCCCAGTAAAATTATTACCTTTTCAGGGCAGAGAGTTTTCCTTAGTTTTCACTGAGAGTAGCAGGCAGAGAGTGGGTGCTTAGTGGATGCTCACTGACATGATCACCTGTGAGTGTGGGGGGTGGGGGTGTGTGTCTGATTGTTCTCGTGTTCAGTGCCTGGTGACTTTTCTGTATTTAACAGGTGTTTGAGATGGACATCTCTAAACAGTTACAAGCTTATGAAGTTGAGTACCACGTGCTTCAAGAAGAACTTATCGATTCCTCTCCTCTCAGTGACAACCAAAGAATGGACAAATTAGAGAAAACCAACAGCAGCTTACGCAAACAGAACCTTGACCTCCTTGAACAACTGCAGGTAGAGAATATGTATGAGGCGGCTTCCTGAACCCCGACTGTCTGGTAGTTCATTAACGCACCAAAGGCACCAGCAGGCTGGGTTTTCCCATGACCTCAGGACCTTTTTCTCCCCAGTGTGTTTATAATTGGGATCAAAGGTATCCCAGGAGAACTGGGCCTTTTTATTAGGGGCAGACAGATTATCCTTTGCTGAGGTCAGAGAGTCCTGGAGCTTTCTAAGAGGCTGTTTCTGCGCAAAGCGTTTTAGGAAACAGGCCCAGAGTTGAACTTGGGTTTAGGATGCTGTGGTGCTATTAGCTGATTGCCAGCAATTTTGCTTTTTGTAATGACAGGAGAATCAAAGGCTTTTGAGCTTCCATGAGCGAAACCAGCTAGGTCCACAGAGGGATATTAAAGGAGGAAAGTGACACAGAAATCTACCAACAAAATAAACCAGAGCATATGATCATGATTTGTGAGTCCTTCCTGCAAACACAAAGGTTTGATTAATGAAGGACACAGTTCGCCCCTCTAGAAGCTTCCATTTTAACATGGATAAATGTGGATGAGGTCATACAATAGAAAGGCAAACACAGACTGTGCAGGCAGAAGGGTGAGATGGAGCGAGCGAGGGAGTGCAGTCCAGAGACCTGGATCTTGCCAGATGTGCTGCTGCCCCCACCACATTGTCGCCTTGCACAGACTGCTAACCTGCTCTGTCCTGATTCCCTCGTCTGTGTGACAAGGACAGAAAGAATACCTAACTTCTTAGCATGGCTCCTTTACCAATCAAATGGAATAAGGTAACCATACAGTCTGCGTTTTTAAGGTCATAAATGGGTGCTAATGCTGTAATGTTTTGGAGGTGTTTAAAAAAATTTTTTTAGTTGCTGCAGAGAAAAATACATATTTCATGGTGTTCCTAGGCTGTCCTTAGAATAAGCTTTCCATCCTGATCTAAGCCTCTTATTTTTCTGCATAGAAAGTTGCCACTTTGCAGACACAAGCTTGGCAGTGATGTGAGAAAGGCCAGCATTTGAGAGCCGAATAAATCAACCCTTGTCTAAAATGCATTCCTCCCAGCAGGGATGTATCCCAGTAGACCCTAGTAGATGTTTACGGTAGAGGAACCAAGAAAAATGCTTTCTCTACCCCCAGTCCTAACAACCAGTCACATTCTGAAATTTAGCTTCTTTTTCCCCGCTGAGATTGAGACGTCCTAACTGAAAATATGCCTGTGTACGATTTCCCAAGGATGTCTCAGCTACAACCGGAAGGGAAGACTCAAAGGGATAGAGCCTTATCTGGCCTGTAAAGGTCTGCAGTGTAGGTGGTGATTGTAAATGATTTCCAAACAGTAGGTCCCTGAAATATAACACGATGGAAACCGTTCTAACAAGTCTCAGATTTGCATTTGAAGCATTTGGCTCGTTAAGATAGGCAGTACTCGAATAACAGCTTCATTTTATTGGGCTAATGCCCATGTGGTTTGTTTTGTGATGAGGGTGGAAGTAATTTTATGTTGCTGCTGGGATACTGTACCCGTTTTGTGAAGAGAGGGAGTTGTGAAAAGCTGCTCGGTTATCAACGTTTTTCAAGAAAGGCATCAAGCGGTAATGGGTAATACAGATGTTCTCCTTGGAATGATCTTTCTCTTGACCCAGTGGCTCTGCGCTTCTAGAGGTATCATTCAAGACTGCAGCTTGTGGCAGTCCACCATTATTTAGAGTCTTTGCTGTGCTGGGTGCCAGGGGCCACCAAGATTCATAAGACACTGCCCCTCTCAAAGAGTTGGGATAGGGATGTGGTGTGTCAATTGGTGGGTGCTTGAATATGGTTTTCCAATTACCCTCTGTGAGTCACATGGATTTACTGTCTTTCAGCTGGATTATGTAAGTTCTTTTTGTGAGACACCTCCTTTCCTTTTTTATTTTTAAACAATTTTCTGAGTCCAAGGATAGGTGTTCAATACAGTAGTACTTAATTTTCTAACATAAATCTTTGGTTTTTTGCCAAGGTATCAAAATTGACGTGATTTTCAGCTTTGTTCTCTTCAAAGAGTTTTAGACATACTAAGTCGCATTTATTTTCTGTTAATCACACAAGAATGTTGTCTAGCAGCTGGAGACCAAACTGTTTAACCTGTTTTGTCCAGCAGCATACCTAAGACGATTGCATAGACAGGCCAAATGGTGCCAGATAATAACGGACGTACATTTTCTGTAATAACCACAAGTCATTGAGTGCCCACGAGCTAGGTGCTCTGGGAAGCCAGACTGTGTGCAGGATGAGATATGCTTTCTTCCATGAAAGAGCTTCATCTGGGGCCGGCCCGGTGGCATAGCAGTTAAGTGCACGCACTCTGCTGTGGCGGCCCGGGGTTCGCAGGTTCAGATCCCAGGTGCATGCCGCGGCACTGCTTGTCAAGCCATGCTGTGGTGGCATCCCATATAAAGTGGAGGAAGATGGGTACGGATGTTAGCTCAGGGCCAGTCTTCCTCAGCAAAAGAGGAGGATTGGCAACAGATGTTAGCTCAGGGCTGATCTTCCTCACAAAAAAAATAAATAAATAAAAAATAAAAAGGTTCATCCTCACAAAAAAAAGAGCTTCATCTTACTGAGGAAACCTGACATTCATGCAGAGCAGTAAATGACCAGCAAAACAGCTCACTCTGAAGCTGTGAGGTACACCTGGGCATGCTGTGGGACTGGAGAATGAGGAGTCCTTTGTGGGGATGAGGTGGGACCTGGCCCAGGCTTGCCCATGGGTAGGATTGTGAGGATCAGAAAGTACTGCTTGGAGATGCACACCAAGCATGACCACCCCCTGCTCGGGAAGCTGACAAACTTGGATCTCAGTCCTTTTATCCTTCTATTTTGAGTATTCCAGTGGAACCGCCAGAGCTAGACTTTGAGTCATAAGTTATTTGTCTGGCACGAGTGTTATCTTGTTCAAAAAACTGTTTCCCTTGTTTTGAGAATGGGAAAAAAAAATGTACCATTTTTCCCACCTAAAATAAACGGGGGCACGTTGAGGGCTGGACTGGATTAACAGGATAGAGCTGTACGTTACTGACCCAGTGACCTGAGCACTACAGATGCAGTTGTGAGCTGAGGAATAGGCCAGAAAGCCCTCGGGGACAGCAACATAAAGGTCGTACTTTCTGTGGTTCTCTCAGGAAACCACTCGGCTTCACTTGTTGCCCGAGAAGCTGGCCCTAGTAGATTAGAGAGAGGAGGGACTGTTGCTAGAGAGAAGCACCTAGAAGTTGCACCTGACGTTAATCATGTGCTAGGCTGAGGGTGTAGACTGGGTGGGAGTGAGGACACTGCTGACCTCTGTGGTGCTGGTGACCAGTCAGTGAGACCGTGCATGTGAACCTCTGAGCAGAATGCTTGGCCATTGTGAGCACTCCACACGTGTTCTTGGGGAAATGCCCAGGTTTCTTGGCATAGTGATGTCTCGTTACTGTAAGGAAAATAAAAAGAATTTCAGATTAGAGAGCTGTTACTACTTGGGCCTTTACACAGAAACCGTTTTAACTATCAGTCTGAAATCACTTAGTACGTGTAAATATATGTATTAGTCAACATAGGCCAGGCCGTGCTCTGGTAATAAAGCTCCAAATCTTGGTGGCTTAGCACAACAGAAGTCTTTTTGCCCTTGAACCTCTACCTCTTGTTCATGCGACATTCTTTGGCCATATCAGAGCTGTCATCCCTGGAGTGGGTGACTCGGGGATTGGGCTCCCTCCACATTGAAGCCACCATCTCAACGTGTCACTTCCAAAGTAGTCACAGCAGGGGAAGAAAATGCTGGAGGATCTCAGGATGGCCCAGCCTACTTGCAAGGGAATCTGGGAAATGTAGTCTTGTTGTGTGGCCAGAAGAACTGATTACAAACACTAGGCTGTCTCTGTCAAAATATGGCTCCAAAGTACCCTCAAGGCTGGAGAGCAGAGTGTATGGTGGATCTGCCTGTGTTATCACTGGACAGCTCCATTCTCATTTCTTCTTTTATTCTCCAGGTGGCAAATGGTAGGATCCAAAGCCTCGAAGCCACAGTCGAGAAGCTTCTGACCAGCGAAAGCAAGCTGAAGCAGGCTACCCTCGCCTTAGAGCTGGAGAGGTCGGCCCTGCTGCAGACGGTGGAGGAGCTTCAGAGGCAGGCTGCAGAGCTGAGCGGTGCAGAGCCTGACCTCACACAGCCCGAGCCCACGGGTGACTGACAGCGCAGGGGACAGCACCTCGCAGAGCATGGCTCCAGAGGAGACCTTGCAACACCATCCCAACACTGTCCAGGCCTTAACTGAGAGATGCAGAAGATGCGGGAGGGAGAGAACCAAGTGTGTGAAGCGTGCTTCTCAGGGAGGAAACTGGCTTGCCAGCATGCGGATTCTTCTGAACTAAGACTTGCAATTCAGGGGGACGAATGTCCTGGTGTTTTTGTTGTTGTTGTTTAGGTTCTGATTCGTCCCTTCTCCGGTCCTGATTCCTGTACTCAGTAGATTTAGATGGCGTGGTCATGAATAAATGCACCTTTGTGTTTCCATGTTGTTTCCTTTTTCAGTTTCACTGTTTCTGAAGAGCATTCTTAGTACTGTGGAATTTCAGAAGCTGGAAGGGTTCAAGTTGATGCCTCTGGCAAAGAGGTGGCTCCATCATTCTTCCAAAGAGGATTTGTGTGACCATACCCTCAGCATCACTGGCAGTGTGCAGTTGGCCCTTGTCCATTCTTGTTATGGAATGCCCAGAGGACCACTGGGAAAGATCAAAAGTGATTTGTTTAAATTTGGCATCTTGAATTTGATCTCTTTCCTTGGTATTTAATGACGTTTGTCTTTTTAAAAAAATAGTATTTTCATACATTTTTTTGCTTAGCTCTTAAGTTTTGATCGAAGTCATTGTAGATAAATGTTTTATGGGAAAATCACCATTTTTTAGACTTTACCAGGTATTGCTAGTGTGCAGCCTGCAGTGATAGAGTCTGAGCTATTTATTTCTTTGTGGTGTTTCATATCCATATTATAGAGTCTTGTATTTATTTTTGCCATTGTTTGATGTCATGCAGCTGTGTGTCCCTTTGAGCCTCCAGCCCTTCAGAATCTGTTTCCTTGCAGAAGTAGCCGCCACATCAGGATTTTTAGGGGTGCCAGAGATTCTGGAACTTTCAAAAAAGAGATCAGCCTGAAATTGCAATCAAATGTCTGGCAGCTGAGAGCAGTTTTTCAGAGGTAGGTTGTGTGTTTGAACATAACTCACAACACAGTGACACCCTCCCCACCCTCAGGAAGATGAGGACCCTGTGCCTTCAGCAAGCGAAAAGCCGCTCACGGTTGCCCTGGTTGGTTTCCCCCCTCCTTGCGTGAGGCCTCTCTTGGAACGAGTTCTTACAAAGGATCGGGTTAGAGAGTAACTGGGGAGGCACATATCACTTGCTTGACAGCAGAATCCTTTCTGGTCTTTCCTTCATTCCCGTAACCACTTCTATTCCCCAGGAGTTTCTTTTGAATCCCTCAGTGGTGGGCATCTCTTTTAAGCCTGAGGTGAAAGGAAGGATTTTCATATTTGAAATCATTGTAGGTCCTCTAGACATTTCAGAGGGAGACAAACATGCCTCCCCCAGTGCCTGAACGGTTGGTTGACGTTTGGGACTCTTCCTGTTCCCCAGGTCAGCGGAAAGCAGTTCCCTTCATCCACCAGGATGGCAAGTCCAGTAGCCTTTATCCCGAGTTGTTCCACCAGATATAACTTAGAGGAGTTAACGTTTGAGGGCTTCTTTCCACACACTGTACTGTTTGAATGTTTAATAACGTTGAATTTTCGACATCTTATTACCATTACTCAAAAACATTGACTCTGTTAAATAGGAAGAGAGCAATAAAACAAATAATTCATACCTGTTACTTGTATGGTGTTTTTTTTTTAACTGTGGATTTTTGCTCTCCAGCCCAAGACTGAAAGAATGCCTCATGAACACCTGTGGGTCAAAGTGTGACTATTGCCTAACCACTGGTGAGGTCATCTGAGGGCCTGGCATCTGTGTTTCCAGTATTGCTTGTCATGTTGTGACACTTCTGCATGGGGTGTGGGTGGTAGCACCAATGACAGCAGCTCCATCAGTTGTAGGTGCCAGCGAGTGCAGTTAGGAGATTGTGATGGGCGGACAGGACTGTGGACATGAGCCTGTGGTACAGGTTGGACAGGGTCTCAGCCTTTGACTTAGGGAAAGAAAAATGCATAGAGCCAGTTCACACTGGTGTGTGAGGATTTGCAGAGGCAAATTTTTAAACCAAGTAAGTTTGGTATTGTATTTTCCTCAGGCACACAACTATATGCACACACATGTGTGCACTTGGAGATTTTTCTTTTGATTTGTGCCTACTTGACGCATTATGAGCCATCAAGAAGCTCACTGTTACATAGAACATGTATAAAAAGATCTATGCAGAACACTCAGTTTGGGGCCCTCTTAGGGGTTACATATAGATAGAACAACAATGCCCATTTGGGTGTTTGTGTGTGGATTGATTGGTAAATCGGGAGAGGAGTTGCTCTGAGTGCTATGGGATACAGGATTTGTTATAGGAAGTAGACCTGGCCTAACCGTGTGAGGAGCTGAGAATGAAGGTGTGGAGGTGTGCAAATCCAGAGAAGTCACCAGCTAGTCTATCTGAGAAGCAAAACATTGAGAGGCTGAAGTAGGTCCGGGCAGGGGGCGCTCGGGGAGCATTGTGGGAAGCTGACACTGCTATAGTGACCACCTCTGTGTGTCTACAGCCAGGTGCTGGGCGATGGGCCTGGGGCCACACTAGGTCAACACTTGGAAAGAAGAGCTGAGGTAGAGTGGAGGAGAATGAGGACAAGCTGGAACCAGCCAGGCACCTCTGTGTCCATCGCCACATTTGACTGTGATGACCTTTGGAGAAAAATAGCCTTTGCTTCACTTTTGCCTTCCAAATCTCACACAAGCACGTTTTTGAGCCAATTCCAACTTAGAACCACCAGAGAAGGGGACTCTGGGAAAGGTAGTTCTGGCTTAACCAAGTTGACAAGAACAAACCACTGCAGTGAGTTTTGGAACCTGCCTATTTGGATGATGGCATGCCCAGATGAGTCATTTTACAGAGGCCTTCCATCTAAGGCCATGTGGTTAGTAATCCATAGAGTTCAGGTTCACAGATTGGTTTTGACTTTGAGAGTCACTGATAGTGCAACGTTGGGCACTACAAACTGCTGCAGACCATTGCTGGCATCCAGAACTTCCCCCAACCTTCGTCTGCTTCCCTCCGTCAAGTGTTACCAAACGTTCTAGAAATTAAGATCCAGGAACTTCCTATGTGGTAAAATAATTTACAGGCCACATTATCTTAAAGGGTTTAAGGGTTTGAAATGGCTCAAAGTAATCTTGGATTGGGAAAGCCAGAGGGAACCTTCTACTTTATACTAGAAAACCACCTCCCACATCATTTTATAGCAGAAAAAACTGAGGTGCGGAGAGGTTCAAAATCACCTAATAGTGGGCTACAGGGTCAGAGTAGATCTGCAGTCTCCTGGCTGCCTGATGGTCGACACCACCTGGCTTTAATTCCAGTGAATTTTAAGGAATCATTTCTGATGACATCAAGATTCAAAGCAAGGAAAGTTCTGCTCCATTTTGCAAGGGTGATCTGTATGGGAAGGAGCCCAAATCAGGTTCTCTTCTGAGATGTGGGATCTCCAGGGGCCTTAATTTATCATGAGTTAAAACCAGGGGGGCCCCTCCAGCCCACCCCTGTGTATGGACTCATGGGCAGAGGAATACGACTGCAACAGGTCTGCACTGATTGGGTACAATGTTTACTCTTGACAGTCATTTCTTTTTTACCTTTAGACTTTTGAAAACCCTTGTTTAAAAAGTCAATACAGGGCCGGCCCGGTGGCTTAGCGGTTAAGTGCACGCGCTCCGCTGCTGGCGGCCCGGGTTCGGATCCCGGGCGTGCACCGACGCACCGCTTCTCCGGCCATGCTGAGGCCGCGTCCCACATACAGCAACTAGAAGGATGTGCAGCTATGACATGCAACTATCTGCTGGGGCTTTGGGGGAAAAAATAAATAAATAAAATCTTTAAAAAAAAAAAAATACAGAATTGCCTTTGGCTTTATAGAAGTGAAACTTTCCATAATATAAAGTTACCATCTGTAGAAATGATTAGAACGATTAGGGAAATGTAAGAGTTGTGATATGGAGCAGCCACAACAGTCATTATTTCGACAATTTGAAATTGGTAACAAAAGATGAAAAAGAATGTTCTTAGTATCTAGGCTTCATAGATAATCTGCGTTCACATCTCTAAACTGAATAATCAACCAACTGTTTAGGTTGTAAACCCTTATTAGCAAAGCGTTTGAATTTATACCACCGTATATGTATTTATTTAAAAATGTACGTGACTAAATGTTAGAAAATAGAAGTTTCAAATGAGGTGAAATAAAATAGTTTAAAAGTATTAATGATTAAAAAGTTGATGTCCAGTGATTCTAAGAATAATGAGCACTTCATAAATATTGTTTGAAGACTGTGATACAGTAATTCAGGGGTCAGTTTCCAAGTTCAGCCTAGATTGATGGTTGGTTTTAATGCACTGTCATGGCTGAAAAAAGGTGGCTTCCAAACTCTAAATGGAGGAAGGCACTGCTGGTCACATTAAATCATGATGTTCATTAAATCACTTTTATTTACCAATTATGCAAAGGTTTTTGTTGAAATCTGGCTAGTAAATTTCCATCTTCTCTAATGGCAGAGTAATCAAAACGTGTTAGAATTTTGTATATTTTAGCGAAGGACCTTAAAGCACTCAAACTCTTCATGTGAGAAGTTTTGAACAAGTTATAAAAGTATTTCCAAGATTGTTTAACATGTTCACATGGTTTTTGGCCAAGAGGTGACCTAAACGATGGCAGCACTTCCAAACATCCTTTTCTGAAATCCCTCTCCATAGCACTTTCTCAGTAGTCTTTTCTAGGGCTCCCCCGCTTGGAGCCCTCTGCTCTCGGTAATGGGGCAGGGGTGGAGTAGGTTCTAGCGTATGGGTCTTCTTTGTCCATGTGGCTGCCTGCTCACCGGCCAGTGTGCCTGCTGTAGACACGTGGTCTCGCCGCCAGCCCCTGTCCTGCGGTCCCTCAGGAGCCTGGAGGTCCTGGGCCCTGTGAAGTGCCGGGCTGAGCAGAGCAGAAAGGAGCTGCACAGTGTGTGTGTGTAAAACAGCACCTGCGAGTCCCTGCACTGTATTACTGCAGTGACCTTTTCTCACAACCACTGGAGAGAGCCTGGACACTTGGACAGGAGGAGGGGGAAACTTTGTCACATTCTTCCTCCTGGTCAGATTCGTCTGCTTTTCCTCATTCTTCTGGCTACATCTTCTTGCCATTGTTTTTGTCTGATTCCATATTTGGATCTGCATTGACCGATTTTGAGTGTCTTCTTCCTGCTTGTCTAGACAATTTCATCTTTTTAAACCTCTGTGTTTCTCATTTCTTCCAACGGTAGGACAAGCTGACTCTTTGATGC